GAGATATGGGGGTGGTCATTTTTGACCCATGTCGATATACGAATCTTGGGGTAAGATTTGGACATGAATTTCGACCAAAAAATCGGTGTCGAGATTTGAATGCCAGATTAAACTAGAGGGAAAACCATGAAGAAAAATCCTATATCATATATATATTCTATTTTAGAAGCTATATGTCAAGTTTGGTGACTCTAGTTCTTATTATTTACCAAAATTTCCCAAAAAACAGTATATCGATATCGATTGCTTGAAAACGGAGTAAGTTATCGATTATCGGAAACAAACTCGATCTGCGGGGGAGCTAGGAGCATCTACATCTAAATTTCAAGTCTCTAGCTCTGATAGGTTCTGAGATCCTTGTGTTCATACATACGGACGGACGGGGTCGGAGTTGCTTCCTTCTGCCTGTACATACATTTGGCTTTCGCACAAATACAATATACCCTTATACCCATTTTTAATGGGTGCAGGGTATAAAAATAAACAAGAAAAAATGAGTATCTTGGGCACGCAGCATTTCAAATACCCTTTGTAGACACAAAAGCGTTATGTCCAAACGATTTTTCCTTCGAGAAGATATCTTAGAAAAATGTGATCGTCTGGACAAAAGTTCATTTTCTTACGATTTTTCCCATTGAGCTTTTTGATAAAGAAGTCCGATGCATATGTATATACGAGAGTTTCATATGTAGGGGGCTAGAAAAAACTCTCAAGTGCCAAGATTGGTCAACATATCATATAAAGCAAACAACTGTAAAAGCAACATCTTAATTTTGGACCTATCGTTCCTATGGCAGCTGTATGATATTGATAGAAGAATATAGATAACAATATGATATAGGAGGAGAATAACATAAATGCTTTACTCTTACTCCTTATGTTGCATAATGTATGACAAATTTAAAATATCCTTTCCCAAGGGTAAGAAAATAAAAAATCGTTTAGCGAACAAAAGAAAATGTGTTGCTAATAAAATTTCGGTGTGCGTAAGTGCCCGAATTGACATTGTTCGAGTGCATACATAAGCTACTTATTTAAAATGTGGCAGCTGCGCTGTTGCACAATTTCAGCAATTTGCAACAGGCGCAGCACAAAGGACTCTGCAAGCCTGTGGATTTGCTTTATTTAATAGTAGGAAAAGCAGATGGAATATGTCAAAGTTGCTGTTTGAAAATCAATAAATCAGCGTTTACCGTTTTACCTTTACCTCAGTCTCAATTCAATCAGATTTTGTTATTTGATTTTGCCAGCCTCCGCGCTTTCCTGTTTCCTGTGACTTGCAGTGCGCATTTCCTATAAGTGCCTCGCATTTGCTCTAATTTGATTTTGATCGGCAGCTTCTTATGCGATTCGATTCCATTGCCTGTCAGTGGCTCAAAATGTGCCAATTTTCAGTTGTGTTTATTGATTTAAGTCGAGTGAAACATGACTGATATTTCTGTGTATATATAATTAGATTGCACCGTGCGCTAAACCTAATTCGTGTATCATCTATCAACAAAAAAACAAATAAAGAAGTACAACTTTCAGGCACAAATACATTAAAATGTATTCACTAACATCTTTTTGTCTAAGTTATCAAGCTAGATGACTTTACAAAAAAGGACATCGAAGATTTTATACCCTTTTACACCTTTGCCATGCAGCTCTGCAGATAATCTAAAATAATAGTGCTACAAAAAGATTTGTCATGTATGGTATTTGCATATTTAAATATAAAATTGCCTAGTTTAATCTAAATAAGATTTTACAAATATGTTAGGAGCATAGTGAAACTAATAAATGATAGTTGTGTTTATTCAAACGCAAATGTTTTGCATACAAAAACCTTCTTTTCGCTAAAAAATTTTTGAATAAATTTTAATGCTCTCTACGAAGAAATAAATTCTTTGGAGGAAATTTTGACAAGAAAAGAGAACAAGTATAAAAATTATCTTGCACTGCATAATACTCGTCCGTTGTACAGAAGTATCAAACAGGTTACAATCCAAATTTTAAAAGAGAAGAAGAGAAGAGATCGATATTTTGGGATTGATCCGTAGAGAATCTCATTATTAGTCAGAATTTCAAAGATTATCACTCTGGCTTTCTAAACTATGAAAATATAAATTTTTTATCGATCGTATTTGAAAAGTAAGAAAAAGCGGACAAAATATATAGCAAAATCGTTTCGAACTAATGCCTTTTTTGAAGTGTTAATAATGGTTAATATCGCTATCAATGGGCGAAAAGCTTTCCTAACCCTCTGAAGGGACTCAAAAGTGGGCGACTATTGTTGTGCTTGTATATATTCAAATAAGATAAGATGGGATATCGTCGGTAAATCTTGATAATTACTCTCAGTGGTGGGCTTTCATCTTTCGCCACAAAACAACGACAATGTCGCAATGTGATACGCAATCTTAGAAGAACCCCATAAAAATGGGTAGCTTAAAAGATCTAATTTACAATATCAATCAAATTGCTGTTTAAAATTTAACAGCAACAACATTCAGGATAAGGCAGATTTTAGCAAAATCTCATCAGTTTATCAACAAATTGAGAGGGCCCTCAATTTGTATGCAATTTTTGTGCAACTGAAATGCACTCGGAACGGGGCACACATTGCGTTTATAATGGATATACAACGTACTCGTAGAAATATATACGAAATGCAATTACAGCACGCTCCATTAGCAGCCCGAAGAGTACCATTAAATGCGCGCCATAGGCATTACTAGGCATTACGGGCCGGGCTGCCAATTGGCAAAGTGGCTGCCAGTCAGCCAGGCGGTTAATTCTCAGCACTTGGTTGGGCTAAACATTAACCAGGGGAATTCGCAGCGGCCTTTCGCATTGGTGTCCAGCAATTGAAATGTGTTTTAGTTGTCACTACTAAGTACCACCCCCCCCCCCCCCCCCCCCCCCCCCCCCTTCTCCCTTCCACCCATGCCACAACCCACACTCCAAACTCAGACTGGATTCGGTAATAAGTAAGTTCAATAGCGTCAAGACTCGGTGGGCAACGTCACGTGTCCTGGCAAACGGATTGCCCAGAAAGCCTCACGAACCGGATAATGATCAACGAACTGTATACGTTTCCGCAATCGTAGTCAAATCGACAAACATGCACATCGAATGCAACGGCTCCTGATGCTGATGCTGATGCGGATGCGGATGCTGATGCTGCTGTCGTTCGGGGAATAGGAATGAGAATGAAAACGAGAATGCGAATGCGAATGCGAAAGGGAGGTGTCATGGGCTTAAGGTTGGTATCGAAGCCAAGGAGCTGTTGCCCAAGCAACTTAAAACCGCTCAACTGGCAGACCCCTCCCCCCACCACCGTCCTCCGCAGAGGAGAAATACTGGTGTAAACAACCCCTCGCTCGAATGTTTTGCATTATTGATAAACTGCTCGGTTCGGTCTCTCCATCGTCTGCGTGGCAAGAAATAAAGCAGGCCAAAGAATATTTATGACACTTGCCATGCTCCAACAACGGTGGTAAAAATATGTATATGTATGTGTGTGTGTGTGTGTGTGTGTGTGTTGTGCTGCTAGCAGACGGGCACGCCCCCAAAAGCGAAACGTGTCAGGCATTAAGCCGCTGGACGTGTGTAGCAGCCCTTTATTACCCTAGCCGAAGGGTTGTCCGACAAATATTCACGAATTTCGAATCTAACCTATGTTTATCTCTTATGTCTAAGACATAATGAGGGACATTAAATAAAAAAATCAAATTAAAAATAATTAGATAAATTAAAAAAAAAAATATTCTTTATATATAAATTTAATATATATAATTTTTGCGACCTCTTTTTTTTATAATTTTATATTCAAGTTCTAAATCAAATGTGATTTGATAGGGATTTTCGAGTCCCCAAACATAACAACAAATTTTTTAACAATTTCACACTTTAAGTAATCAAAATAAAATATATATATATATTTAATGTAAGAAATTATAATTTTTAACAAAATACGTTTTATGAAACTTCTTGTTCAAATCGAAAGGATATTATTATTCTACCATGGCAAAAAATACTATCTTGCTACAAGGACAAGCAACATTTGTTGCACTTTTGGCAATTGGTGTAGGCAAAGCGCCGGGGCATTGAAGCGTTTAACGCAATGCACAAAAGTGCAGAAATTAATTAAAAGTAGTGCTAGATGCAGACGCAGACTTTAGACATGTAGCCGTCCGAAAAGAATTTGCCAGACCAATTTAGCGCGGCTGGCGAATGCGCACAGTGAGTGCAGAAAAATGTGTTCACATTGCGTTGTATTGCATTTGCTTTGTTGTAGCATAGGACCAACAAAAAAAGAGGAAAAATTTGGAGAAAGAAGCACAAAGAGTCCAAGGACAACCAAAAAAGGTGAACATGGGCGTGGCAAAGGGCGTGGCCGTGCGTCTGGATACGCACACGTCACGTAGTGCAGTTGCCTCAACTAAAACTTCATCAATTCGCCCTGTGAATCCTTGGCAACTTTGCGCTGGTCTGAGCTGATGGCGGATGTGGGTCGCCGAGTTGGTGGCTCGTCGGGTTGGTGGATCGGTGGGTGGAGCAGCCCCTTTGCACACGTGTGACCATTAATGCATTGCGATTTATTCATGATTAATTACAGCGTTTAAAAGAGCATAAATATGCACTGGCAATTTTATTAACAAAAATAATTAAATGAATCACACAAGGCGAGTCTGGATGTATAATAAATGCATTTCATTAAAGCATTTGCTTTATATATTGAAATATCAGTTGACTTAATTGCATTATACATGACATTTCCCATATGCAGACTGCGAGAAGCACTATCGGATTCCGTATATATCATAACAATTCGAATTTTATTCAGAATCATTTAAGTACGCCAAATTAATACAATTACTAGGATACATATCAATTGTTCCAAGAAGAAGTCCGTTTTAAAAGAACGCAGTTGCGAGTACTTGTACTGTGAATACCCTGTAAAATATACCAAAGAAACAGGAGACAGTCAAGCGAAAAGCTTGTTTTTCTATATTATGTATCGTATATATAAGAGAATACCCCATATAAACCATTTCAACTTTCTATGGCTACTTATAATGTTAATTAAAGACAGGTTTTATAATTGACACACAATGGAAATCAGCCATTCACGATAGAAACGTAGATTTCGTGCTTATTTCAAGCTGTCTTAGGACTTCCCAGCTTGCGTATACTCGGTGACCACATACGCGCCATCATCCTCGCGATAGCCCAATCCATTATAGACGACAAAGGTCCAGTAGTACAGCGTGTCGCCTATATTCAAAACGGTTTCCCGATCACGGAACGTCCAGCGTCCCTTTTTCGCACTGGGTATATCGCGCGCCCATGTGCCAGCTTCCAATCCATCAAAATCCTCGTTTAGCTTGCCATGGAAGGCGAACAATGTAATGCCCTCCTCGTGCGGTATGGAAACCTCAAATCCCTTGGGATAGAACACTCGCACTTGGGCGCTTGGCACCTTGTACGCCGCACACAGCACGACGGCTGTCAGAATGAAGGCGCAGTTTAAAGCTAAACGCATCTTGTATTCCCCTGAGAGCTCGTTACAAAATGCGGAATTAAAGCTCGAGTTAAGCTGATTTATATGAAAATGGGAGAGCTTTCGCTTATCAGACAATAGCAAGCCAGACAAAGCAGCACCAGCTGATACCGTGAGATTCAGAGTCTCTCGATTCAATGCTTATTTTTTTTCTTCACTTAACTAAAAAATGTTCAAATTCTTAACAAGAAGCCGTTACGAATTACGTATGAGTAATAACACAAATTTCCAGATATAAGTGAATCAGAATGCATTCAAATAAAATAAAAGAATTTTCTAGTTACAACTGTTAATAAAATGAACAAGTATTTAGACTAAATGAAGCGTGTTTGTATGAACCTTCGGACTTTCAACATAGACCGCCAATGTTCGGTTCGGTATTGTTGTATCAAGTTAAATGAATTATTAATTATTATACCCTTGCAGAGGGTATTGTAATTTCTTCTCGAAATTTGTAACGCAGAGAAAGAGGCATCTTCGACCCCATAAACTTGGCAGAAGTCCCATTTCTGTTGCACGCAGTACATATGTCGACACCGACTGGATCGGACCACTATCATATACCAGCCATTGGAACGATCGGTCGAAAAGTAGGCTCTTGTATGAACAACTTTTTTGTCTATTAAGATATCTTGACCAAACTCGGCATTTTTAACTTTCACTATGCTCCAACATTTTTGCAAAATCTTGTTTACATCGGATCACTATATAATATGTCATAGGAACGATCGGCCGAAAATGAGGTTATGGTATGAAAAACTTTTGTTTTACAAGATATCTTAACCGTACTCAGTATTGCTATATTGAATCTTCGGCGTGCCGTAGCACTTGCCGTAGCATTTAAATTTATTGGAATATCTTCGATTAGTGATTTTTGAGGCATGCCTAGCTCCTCATTAGTTATGTTATTAAGCTTTTGGCATATTTCATTACCACTGCCTATGCTGAACTGAAAGGAAAATAATAATAATAACATTATATGTATTTAAGACTTACTACAGACAAAATGATAGACGATAAGAGACACAGCTGTATCTCATGATGCACCAAATGCTGGAAATGAATTGACTAATGAATAGGAGTAATAAAATTAATTTATAAAGAGTTTATAACTAGATGTATATAAACAGCTAAAAATCTATGAAACATGCACGCGAAACTTATACTATTAGCCGAATTACTACCAACTATTCAAAAATTTTAAAATAAATAAAGATTTATTTTAAAGTTAAGAAACATGTTTGTAATGCATTGCACATTTTGGACTTACCAACACTGTTCACCAATGCATTTTATAAAAGTGGCAACTCTGCAGGTTTTGTGGCAATTGAATAAAAAACTAACGGAAATCTTTTCAAATGAAATGTTTATTGAACACATTTCAGAACTTAGCACACACTTAGCAACTTATGGATGATATTGTCCATGTCCATGTCAATGTCGCCGTGCTCCGACTGAGCGGCCAGTGCCAAGCGTTGTGCCTCCCTGCTGGGCCCCAATAGCTGCATGCTCCGCTGCAATACGATCATATGCGCTCAAGTGTTTTTGGGTTGCAAAATTGACGGCAGCGCTGCCATGGGGAGCAGCTGCGAGCGACTGCAAGTGGAATGGAAATATAAAATCAAATTGTGAACGATGTACAATTTGCAAGAGATTGGCTCGTGACGTGCCATACTCACCGCTTGACCTGGTGTGTGGCTAGCGTGCTCTTGCGCAATGCGATTATAGGCAGCAAAGTGCTTGCGCTTAGCCGCCTTGACGGCTTCGCTGTCCTCCAGCTGATGACTCAGCTGCGGATGGAAGCCATTCTCATCGGCCACGTACTGAACGGTGCGCACCTGATTCTTGGGATCCACATAGGAGAAGGCGCCGCGTATAACGCCCGAACCATCGGACACCTCCGTATGCTGGCGATCTACATGACCAGGCGCACGTCCAGCCTGGTAGCTGAAAACATACGGATTGGCTGGCGCATGTGGCTCTGGTGTGGTGGCCAACTGCAGGTGCGACACATCCGCGCGACTGGCGCCCAATGCGCAAACGACCTTGCAACATTCAACCGGAAATGTGTTGTTATTTATGCGCTCAGTAACTATCTTTGTCTATGGCTTACCAATATGAGAAATTGCTTCATGCTGTCGGTTTTTTGTTTCTTTTTTTTTAACGTGTGTCTGTTTGTTGAACTGCGTTGGGAAACTAAAAACCTGAAGCGAATTTTTGTTAGTCGTAGTCGTCGAAACCGAAAAAACTTGTCTGGCTCTCAGTGCTTTAGCTTCTCAGATTCGCTTTTTATATATACGCCGATCAAAGCTTTAAAGTCAAAACTTGTTTTGTTTTTTCATTTTTTTTTTTCAATTTTGCATTCATAAACAAGACAATTCGACTTTAATGTTGAATTTAATGTCTTTTGTAATATACCCGAGATAAGCAAGCTTTGCTGTTCTACGAAATAAACCTAGTTCCTCTAATACTAGAATCTCTCAATGTCATATGTTCTTAAAATTTGCAAGCTTGAAGTTGTGTACTCAAATCTCTCTTTGAATTAATGTAAATTATGGTAGTAAAAAAACGAAAATAAGCAGATGAAAACTTCAATAGTAAAATATTAAACAAATTAACGTAAAACATGAAAGTAAACAGTTTGAATAATATATTTGGGAATTTGAGTACCTAAAATTGTTCGTAACTTAAATAAACAGGAATGACGCAAGAAATATCGAAAATAAAACAAGCTTATTTTTCCTATTAAATTTAATTTACAAATAGAAATAAATTCGCCAATAGAAACCACTTAAAACAAGTAAATAATATATTGCTGACGGATTCTTTGAACGATTTGTGGATGAAAGCATTTCTATTAATAGGCTTAACGAAAGGAACTTTTAATCTGTTGGAAAGAGAAAATGCTTGTCACTTTTATATCATGTATTTAATTATATGCTTAAAGTTTTTGGCAGACGGAAATAGTTTATATCTACTTAAGCATTTTAGAAACAGAGGTAAAAAATACTTAAAGATTTAAAACTAGTGTTTAAGAATGTTTAAAGTTTTAACATACTGTCTTTATATTTACCGAGCGGAAAATAATTGAATACGGTGTTACTTTGTTTATTAAGAGAAGCTACATATTTATACATACTTAAAAGCAAATAATTAAATTTCATTGAAGGTAAGCTAAACTTGCTTTTACAAAACTAGTTTCCCTAATTGTATATACAGAATTGTGCACATTAATGCAAAAACTTAACACATAAAAATAAGACTAGGTCAGTGTCTTAACTGTCTGCAACAACCAGTTGCCATAGGCAGGTGCAAGCGTATAAACGCCCGGATACTGGGCATTTGCGCAGCCCAAGCCCCAGGATACAATGCCGAGCAGTTTGAAGCGACCAGCAATTTGAACAATCAATGGACCACCAGAATCGCCCATGCAACTGTCGCGATCTCCAAGTCCGGACTTGCTGCCTGCACAGAACATGGTGTTGGTTACGGTGCCGGCACCAAAATAGTTCTGAGTACAAATCTGGCGATCCAGCTGAACAATAACTGTGTAATGCAGGCGCGATGCAGTCGACATTTGCTCGACAGCTGTTGAGCCCCAGCCGCTGACAAAGAGCTGCGCCTGTGCGGCCAAATTGTCCGTCGGCGCGACGAACTGAATAGGCTGTATGTTGAGGCTATAATTAAGCGGTTGTTGCAGCTGCACCAAAGCGATGTCGTTGTTCATGTGCGTGGGCGAGTTGAATTGCTCGTGGGAATGATGCGACGAACGCGCACGTAGCTGCCACCAGTTGACCACTGGGTTGAGCCGGCGCGTATGGCATAGAGTTGCGGCTCATTCGACTTCAGCACGCAATGAGCAGCGTGAGCACAATGCTGGGCGCCAATATGGTGCCGCCACAGATATGACGGGTGCCCATCTGCACTGAGACCTGATGCGGAAAGTGTGTGATTTTTGTCTCCCAGCCCCCACAATGCGACCGTCCTGTGGACCAGGACTGCCATGGGGCACCGTAAGCCTCTGCTTCTCTATGCTGATCTCCTGCGCAGCGGCAAATGTCAGCCAAGCGAATAGAAGCAGACGAATACGCTGCATGATGTGATGCGAAAGCTGACTTACGGATAACCGTGTGACTCTC